GTACGTAAAGTAACGGTAACGTAACGTAGGCCGTTTCGTTTGGTAAAGTACTAACGAAGGAGGTAGGTACGAAAGTAACGTAAAGAAGTATTAGTCAGTAGTAGTGTGTGTGTGTGTATATATATATATATATATACACACACACACACACACGTACACACGGGAACTTTCCCAGAAGTAACAAGGAAAAACAGGTAATAATAAATGTATATAACTATATCAATTTGATACTGGTCTTGCTTTGCACCTCCCCGTGTCTCCGCTTTGTAGGGAACACTGCCGCGGGTGGAGTTGCCACTTGTATGAGCTATTTCTAAATGCATGACGGTACAGGAGGCCGCGTTCTGTAATTAACCAAAGCCAACTCCAGCGATCGATATAGAAAGACCTACCGTTTACAAAAGAAAAGAGGGCATTTCAAATCTGTGGTGGTGAACTTATAAACACATGGACTGCTTCGTTTTCTGTCCACCTGACAAGCAGTTTGGTCCGTTTCATCGTCGACACACACGTGCTAGCTACTCTTAACAGTCGTGATCTAGCAACACCGCGTTCTTCGTATTCCCTGTTCCCTACCCACATTCTGACGCTTGCGCAGTGAGTAAAGTAAAAATCTGTATATTCGACCTGTTTTATAACCGACTGAAGTCTTGACTTGGCCAACTTGTTTATTTGCTAGAATAGCCACTTATAAATTATATATTCATGAGTTACTTGAATACGTATAACCTTAGGGAAGCTGATACTTTTCTTAAACACTGCAGGTCTTAAATTTAATGGCAATCTAATTTGGGTAAACGCCAGCAAACCTAAAAAAATGAAACTGACATTATTTGTGAAGCTATATTAACTTCATATTTTGAACATAAATACTTGATATTAATATTTTTCTCGATTTCAAAAACTAATTAAGAATTGGATACAATGAAACTCACGACGAAATGCAACTAGGCCAGTGGGTCAGATTTTTCACGCGCGTGTCAGATCAACCACAACCAAAAAATATGGGTTACACAATACTTTGTAATAATTCGCTCTACAACAACAAATGTTTGTAGTAGTTTATTTTCAGTTTTGAAATATCTGGAGTCGAATCAATAACAGGAACTTGGTCTATGGTTTAAAGGAAACTCAGTACAACATCGATTAAAACTACCCTCAAATCACTAAAACACGAGATAAAATACCACAAAAATTTTTGTGGTATTTAAGCTCGTGTTGTAGTGATTTTTGTGGTATTTAAGCTCGTGTTGTAGTGATTTTTGTGGTATTTTAGCTCGTGTTGTGGTGATTTTTTGTGGTATTTTAGCTCGTGTTGTAGTGATCACTACAACACGAGCTTAAATACCACAAAAATCACTACAAACGAGCTAAATACCACAAAATTCACTACAACACGAGATAAAATATCACAAAAATCACTACAACACGAGCTAAAATACCACAAAAATCACGATAACACAAGCTTAAATACCACAAAAATCACGATAACACAAGCTTAAATACCACAAAAATCACTACAACACGAGCTAAAATACCACAAAAATCACTACAACACGAGCTAAAATACCACAAAAAAATCACCACAACACGAGCTTAAATACCACAAAATTCACTACAGCACAAACTTAAATACCACAAAATTCACTACAACATGCTTAAATACCACAAAAATAATCACAACATCAACTAAATACGCCCTCAAATATCAACCTATTTCTGAGTTTTATCCCTAAAGCATAAAATTAATTTAAGTTCCGACATTTGAAAAACTGCAGCGCGCTCATCAGCACATTGCTGGCTTAGGTTTAGAAAAACAAACGTGTATACGGGTCCATTTGCAGTAAAAAAATAAATAAAATAACGCGTATATCTATTACAATATAATTACCCATTCAAGCCGTCTCCAACCATTATTATACATACGGATTGGTTAGGGGATGTGGGAAAAGTTGTTATCACACGAAAAGTGTAGCTCATAGCTATTAAATACTATATTTGAAAATTATTGTAGGCTTTGTTTTTAACATTTCAATTTAAACATTTTTATTGTTCGATAGGTGTCTTGATATTGTTGCGTCAGCGAGATCATGTGACTATTCTTACGCCCTCTGCTTTCTAGAACTATCCT